CTAAATTCTTTTTTTTTAAAAAAATATTTATTTATTTATTTTAGTTGGACACAATATCTTTATTTTATTTATTTATTTTTATGTAGTGCTGAAGATAGAACCCAGGGCCTCACACGTGCTAGGTGAGCGCTCTGCTGCTGAGCCACAACCCCAGCCCTCAATCTATATTCTTAAGGACAAGTCTCAATGCTCCCAGAAAGTGTCCCACACCTGCCCTGCTCATGCTAGCACTTACCAAGTGTTTGTTGACAATCTGGGCTGATGAATGGACTGGTGATTCTTCTGGACAAAGAACAGACAGCAATTTGGGCACCTTGAGAAAAGAGATTTGGTCACTAAAGACCAGAAACACACCTAAATATACCTTAGGTAGAACCCATGCTTATTCAGAGATGAGGAAAATTCTCAGTCAAGCTTCCTGTTTAGGTTAGGAAGAATAGGAGGCTGCTGCATTTCGTTTCTTTTTTTTTTTTTTTTAAAGAGAGAGGGGAGGAGAGAGAGAGAGAGAGAATTTTAATATTTATTTTTTAGTTTTCGGCAGACACAATATATTTGTTTGTATGTGGTGCTGAGGATCGAACCCGGGCCACATGCATGCCAGGCGAGCGCGCTACCGCTTGAGCCACATCCCCAGCCCCACTGCTGCATTTCTCTAGGACTATGATTATTTATGTAGCAACTTCTAGATGGCCTTATTCTCACTTTCTTAGCTGAAGTGCTCTTCCCTGACTTATCCTTCAGCTGCGAGGAGGTGAGTCAAGCCTCTGAGATGCCGACAATGTACTTCTTGGGAAAAGAGGTCTGATGGGGGCAAGGAATACTATGAGTCCTGATTGTAGTTATCCTAGGTCCTGTTACCGGGGCCATGCATGTGCTCAGCCTCTTTGGGACAAGACTCCTTACTACTACTGTTTACAGGCAATTCTCTCTAACATTCTTTCCTCGAGGCTTTGCTATCTGGCAGCTTTAAACTCTTGTCCTTTACTTTCTTAAGGAAGCCTCCTCTTTGTGTCTATGTAATGATTACACAGTATTTATCTGCTTATTTATCAAGTAAATACTATACATATTCCCATGCAACATAATAGGCAGAAGCTGTTGAACCCAAAGGCCAGAAGTTAGCCTCCCTGGAAATATTAGCTTTGGAGCTACAAAGGCCTTCCCTCTGTGGACCAGGCCCTCCAGCTCCCCTTTTACTGTATTTAGGCACACCAATCTTCTTCCCTGACATGTCAGGTCTTGTTCAGCCTTGGGAATGAAAGGAATTTTGAACAAGTTACTATATATCTAATGAAGAAATAAGACCAAAGGTT